GCCGTCTTCAAAGTTTTCATTAATTTAAAACTGAATTTCCCTTTAACTGATTGTGACGTTTACGACAGAGATGTAAGACTTCACCTGAGGTCATCTCAATGCCTGGCGATTTTTACTGATGCACCAAAACCCAATCTGGAGACCGTTTCTTGTCTGCATTTTAATGATGTGCAGCTAAAAGTTCCACTTGCTCACCTGCATACAACAGTGGCCCTTTTCAAACATCAATTAACTACAGCTACATTTGTTGAAATGATTAATATGTAAAGATTAAGCAGGAAGGTAAGAGAAGTATGTGAATCAACAAGAGTGAAAAGTTTAAAATAACTTATTTGGGGTGTGTTTTTATTCTTTAATTACAACTATGTCCCATTTGTCAACACGGAGAGGGCAGGACTTCAAACATACTGCACACAGCCACCACAGGGCATGTTGATTTATTTTGGCTTTAAAGGGGTCCTTCACTCATACTTTTAATTAGGGATGTAAGAAAACATAGATATGGCAATATATCATAAAAAAATTTCCAGCGATTTTATATCAATATTCAAAAGCCGTGTATTGAAAATATCAATATTGCAAATTTGGGGATGGGTACCTTTGACATTTGAATTGATCCGGTACTAATTCCCGGTACCTACGAATCGATACCGGTACTTAACGGTACCAATTTCCGATACTTTTGAGTGTTTAATATTTTAATTCTCTTTTATAATTAGATACATATTTTTCTCAATTTATAACCATATTTGATAAATATCACAATAAATAACATACAACTGTTTGTATTTTAACATCATCCTTGTAGTTTTATAAGCTGATAATTAAACTGAAGCAAACATCTTTACTGTGAACTAAATTTACTGTGTATCTTCATTCCTTTTACCGTCCTTTTTCAATTGATTTTTCCTACTGGGAAGTTAGAATATCCGAGGAGAAAGCGAACGCACCATTAGATGATAACAATGGTGGCATAGGAAGCTAACATATCAAGCTACGTTATCTTAAACAGTTTATTTAACTGCTGGAGCAGATTTAACCGATGATGCCTCGCACTTAAATCGTTGTCACTGGTTTCATCTTCACCCAATCACCCGTTTAGTAAAGCATTTAGTAAAGCGAAGCCAAACTTTAGAGCGCGTTCATGTTCTTCTAGTCGGAATTTCGGAGTTCCGAGGAGAAAGCGAACGCACCATTAGTGAAACAGAAGCTAACAAATCAAGCTAACGTTATCTTACATTTTCTTTACCTACCGGAGCAGATTAAGATGAGGATGTCTCACTTAGATCGTTGTCGCTGGTTTCATCATCACCCAGTTACCCATCACATTTAGTGAAGTGAACCCAAGCTTTAGCGTTCGCTCTTTCTACCATGCTGCTCTGTTTACAACTCGCTCGCAGCGACCGATGACATAACGCTCTTGCTCATGCGCAGCTGTCTAGGCAAGTTCTCGTTGTGAAGGACAGGTACCGAAACGAGGCACCGTTTCAAATGAAGTGAATCGGTGCTCGGTCGGTACTGTGGAATTCGGTCGGTACCTTAAAAAGTACCGAATTCGGTACCCATCCCTAATTGCAATATATCATGATATTTTTTCCTGCAATGTTGTACCGATATTCAAAAGCCATGCATCTAATTTTTGGAAGAATTTACATGTGGATATTTGTGTATTTTCTTTTCTTCTTGTGCAATTCAAACGCCAACCACCAGTTGGCAGCATTGTGCAATGGGGTTTGTTTCCACCATGAAATGTAAGTCCCTCTACTATCCCTCTATCCAATAATAAATACAGTCTAAAAAAAATCGCAAATATCCTCTGACTGAATATATCGCAATATATCGTGATATACTGTATCGTCTCCCCTGTATCGTGATACGTATCATATCGCTATAATTTCACCAATACACATCCCTACTTTTAATACATTTGCAGTTGTCTCTGGTAGGAGTGAATGCCTTGTAAGTCGTACTCTGGAGAAAAAAGCTCCTGTGCGCCTGTTTTAGGAACTAAAACATTGCCAGATAAGAGGACAGATTCAGACAACAGGCTTTGTCTTCAGTCTTTTTTCTTGACATTAGGACATCTCACCTTGGATTGGCCACCCCTTGGGGGCGCCGTGATTGGTTAACATCAACGCAACCGACTTGCAACGCTGATGTTTTATCTCCACAAATAACTCAAGCCTGAAGGAGTTCTGCTGTGTGGTGGAGTTGCTAATGCTAACGGCCAGCTTCTACAAGCTGATAAGTTCTCTGCCGTTTCCTGGATGCTAAACAAACAACAGCCTTCCTTGTCGCAAGTTAATATGGGTGAGTCCATGAATGTTAAGTGACAGTGTGACGTAAAGTAGTCAGGCCTTTCTAATTTCACAGTCTATTTTCTATTAGAAGATAATTCAGGAAACAGGTGTAGGACACGATTTTCATGTACCGCCTGCATGTTAACCTCAGAGTGACTGGTCATTTCAAACATAATTAATAAAAAATAGTTTATCTTTAACTTACAAGGTTCATTCCTCTGACTAGTTATTACAACAGGGGCAAAGGCTATTAAAACTTTGTGTATGAGATAATACAGCATCACTCCCACTGTGAAGTGGTGACCATTAATAAAAGAACAGGCAGGCCCGCTAATAAAAGTCTTAGTCATGTCGTATTTCCTGTGTTTTATACTGCTTCCGTTTTGTGGGAAGACACCACAGTGACTATGCTACCTGTTTTATTTCCATACTTTAACCAGCTGTGACATCTTTCAGACACAGAGCTTGAAAGTGGTGCAACAAATGTTACTGTGAAGTGTAAAGAAGGAAGAGGGCAGGAAGTAGGCTATGGTTAGTGAGAACAAGATTCTGAGTGTGTATGTGCAACCTGACCTCCTGACCCTCCCATCCCCCTGCCCTGCTTTAATGCTCTAAAACACTGATTCTTCTATGTAACAGCCAGCTGTTTCACCTGAGGCTCCTGATTCATTTCAAATATTCATAAGATTGAGTGGCTCAAAGCTAGATTTTGGAAAATGATCTCACTGTTGCAATTTCTATTTCACTTACAGCCACTCTAACTACAGTGGTGTGAAACACTAGTTGCCCCCTTCCTGATATCTTATTCTTTTGCATGTTTGTCAAAATGTTTCTGATCATCAAACACATTTAACCATTAGTCCAAGATAACACAAGTGAACACAAAATGCAGTTTTGAAATGATGGTTTTTATTATTTAGGGAGAGAACAAAGTATAAACCTACATTGCCGTGTGAAAAAGTAATTGCCCCCCTTGTTAAAAAATAACCCAACTGTGGTGTTTCACACCTGAGTTCAATTTCTGTAGCCACCCCCAAGCCTGATTACTGCCACACCTGTTTCAATCAAGAAATCACTTAAATATGAGCTGCCTGACACAGAGAAGTAGACCAAAAGCACCTCAAAAGCTAGACATCATGCCAAGATCCAAAGAAATTCAAGAACAAATGAGAACAAAAGTAATTGAGATCTATCAGTCTGGTAAAGGTTATAAAGCCATTTCTAAAGCTCTGGGACTCCAGCGAACCACAGTGAGAGCCATGATCCACAAATGGCAACAACATGGAACAGTGGTGAACCTTTGCAGGAGTGGGCGATTGACCAAAATTACCCCAATAGCGCAGAGACAACTCATCCGAGAGGTCACAGAAGACCCCAGGACAACTTCTAAAGAACTGCAGGCCTCACTTGCCTCAATTAAGGTCAGTGTTCACGACTCCACCATAAGAAAGAGACTGGGCAAAAATGGCCTGCATGGCAGATTTCCAAGACGCAAACCATTGTTAAGCAAAAAGAACATTCGGGCTTGTCTCAATTTTGCTAAGAAACATCTCAATGATTGCCAAGACTTTTGGGAAAACACCTTGTGGACTGATGACAAAAGTTGAACTTTTTGGAAGGCAAATGTCCTGTTACATCTGGTGTACAAGTAACACAGCATTTCAGACAAAGAACATCATACCAACAGTAAAATATGGTGGTGGTAGTGTGATGGTCTGGGGTTATTTTGCTGCTTCAGGAACTGGAAGGCTTGCTGTGATAAATGGAACCATGAATTCTACTGTCTACCAAAACATCCTGAAGGAGAATGTCCAGCCGTCTGTTCGTCAACTAAAACTGAAGCGATCTTGGGTGCTGCAGCAGGACAATGACTCAAAACACACCAGCAAATCCACCTCTGAATGGCTGAAGAACAACAAAATGAACACTTTGAAGTGGTCTAGTCAAAGTCCTGACCTGAATCCTATTTAGATGCTATGGCATGACCTTAAAAAGGTGGTTCATGCTAGAAAACCCTCAAATAAAGCTGAATTACAACAATTCTGCAAAGATGAGTGGGCCAAAATTCCTCCAGAGTGCTGTAAAAGACTCGTAGCAAGTTAACGCATACGCTTGATCGCAGTTACTGCTGCTAAGGGAGGCCCAACCAGTTATTAGGTTCAAGGGGCAATTACTTTTTCACACAGGGCAATGTAGGTTTGGATTTTGTTCTCTTCCTAAATAATAAAAACTATTTCAAAACTGCATTTTGTTCACTTGTGTGTTTACTTGTTATCTTTGACTAAAGGTTAAATGTGTTTGATCAGAAACATTTTGTGACAAACATGCAAAAGAATAAGAAATCAGGAAGGGGGCAAATAGTTTTTCACACAACTGTAGTTCTCTAGCTGCAATTTTCAAAACACTGACCTGAGCTTAAACAACACCTACAGACTAGTAAACAAGCAAATAAACAACACTTTAAATACATTTAACTTTTCTGAGGTAATGTTAACGATCTAGAACGGTATCAAACATTCATGTCATTGGATTATTAGGGCAAAAGTAATTTTCAAGACTTGTTTTTATATTATAATTTTTAAAACATATTAAGTTTTTTATTTTTGAATTGTTAAAATAACTGGATCGATTTGTAGTGTTCATTAGCATGAAAAAAAAAAGTTTAGCTGACAACCACTTGTTGAGTCATACAACACTCACCGACTTCATTGCTCCATGCAACAACCATCTCATGGTAAACGACCAGAGCTCCAGCCAGGAGAATCGCTCCAAAAAGAAAATATTTCCCATTTCGTCGCAGTTTCTTTAATGGAAAAAACGTCGCGATCATTTTTTTTTTCACTACAGGACGAAACTAGGTTCCGACTTACTCGTGCATTGGATCTGCCACACGGTGAGCTCGGTCTCGGCTGCGCGCTACCGATGCCCCGAATCCCAACACAAGAGAGAGTCCCCTGGTGGCTCTCATCCCGCAATATTTATATGTATATAACAAAAGTCCCTGACCTGGCTGGTATAACTTAAATTACACGGATGCCCCTGGATCATCTAAATACTTCAAATAGTTTATCTTTCCTCCTGATCACGGCGTGCGCCCAGCTGTCGTCCTGACCCCAGCTCCTGGAAGCCTCACACGCAAACACGAAACGGAACAATGAAAGAAATGCAGGTCGGATTCTCGCACCAGCTTCGCTCCCCATCACAAATTAATCAAGGCAGACAGAACAAAGCAGAAAAGGGACGAAACAGCGCCAGGTGTGCTTTCAGCGTAAAAGCACGAGCCATCGTTCAGGTGGGCTTTCAGCGTAAAAGCACGACTCAATAATAGTGGCAAAAAATAATTGATCCAATTATCCTTAATTAGATATTTAAAATTCATTTTATTCAGTATTAGTTGTATTGCAAAAAATAAACATACTACAACGCACGTTTTTCAGATTTTCACTAAAACGATTATTTTGTAAATAATTACCGGAAGTGACATACGTTTGTTAGCGTTTAGCTTGACATGGTAGCTCTTTGATTAAAGGAAGGAGTAAATGATCAGAAACCTAGCCCATCTACCTTGAATACTCCAAACATGCCTTTATGTTTCGTTTTTTTTTTTTTTTTTTTGTGTGACCAAGCTTATTTTTATCAATATAATGTCTCAGTTATTTTGGCTAACTGCCCAACACAGTTCACATTTGCTTGAAACCACGACAAAGTGCGTTTTAAATGCATTACCATATTCCCGCCAACAATAAGCTAGTGTTTTCTGTGTTTTTGCTGTAGCTGTAACTAAACTTCGAAACAAACTGCTTAACAAGAAAAAAAATAAACAAATAGGTGAATCAGTGTATAAAGAATAAGCCATTTTTCAAAAAAAAAAAGTTAAAATACCTTCAGATAGCAGAACAAAATGACTCAGGATCACTTAGAAAGATGATAAAAATAAAGCAATATGTTTACCAGTTTATTCAAAACTTGTGTAGGCTACCCTAACTTTGTTATACACCGTAATTTTAGGTCAGAATATCTATTTCTCAATTGCGAAAGCCATACAGATAATTTTACATTTAGAAAATGTTTATTTTTATTTTTTCTTAAAAAGGAGCTACATGAGATTTCAGCTCAAACTTATCCAATCCTGGTGCTGGGGGGAAATCTTTCTGCAGGCTAATGATATTTTTCTCCTCAAAAACACGGCTGTTTTAAATCAGTGGGTGATTAACATGATCATGCAAAACTTGAGGACATGTCGGACAGGTAAATCAGCCACAAAATAAGGTGTTCTTGTTTGAGTTTACTCAACAAAAAAGTGTATCTTGCTAATTGCCAAAACTTCAAGGTGCATCATGTTGTTTCGATTTACAGCTGTCCCAGAGAGAAAACAGAGAAATCAAATTAACCCCTGCTCATTCGTAGCATACACAGTCTTGATCTGACTATTTTAACAATTTAAGAAAGCACACTGAAAAGAAAGATGAACTAGAAGAATATACCAGCGTTCAATGTGTTTCAGCCGACATCATGTTTTACAGTTGAACCCAGAAGACATCCTGCGCTTGAGTAAAAGGAGTTGCTCTATTTCATAATTTATACTGGGGTCCATCAAGTATCTATGTAGCTAAAGGTTTATCTATGCTATTAAACAGAATTAAGAATTTATCAGTGCACCATCACATCACTCATTTTCTAAACAGCTGGTTCCTCACTACAATGCCTAACTCCCACAGTCATCCGGCATGAGGCGGGGGCCATCCCGGACAGGCCGCCAGTCCATCATACAACCACTCATGTGTAGGGACTACTTAGTCTCCAATAAACTTGAACATGCAGATGTTGGGGCTGTTGAATGAAGCAGAGTGCTCAGAGAGGACCCATGCATGCATGAGAAAATGCAAAACGGCATGCTGAAAGGCCACAGCCAGTATTAGAATCTGTAACCTTTTTACTTTGAGGGCAACAGTGCTATAGCAGCTGCCCTGCCATGCAGATGTAAAGACAAGCTCCTGAAATCTAATCTGATATTCATCACAATTCTCACTGTGACCGAAGGACATGATGGATTTTTGAAAAACAAAATCGTGTATTTCTCAGTCCTAAAGACTTCATACTGACCAAATCCTGCAGAAAAACATCTTCGGACTTGCATGAACTTCCATGTTCCTCTTTCTCCTGCAAACGTCATAGCCCTGCTCTCTAGCCTTTCAGCAAACAAACCTCCTTCTGCTATGCTTCATATTTGACTCATGCATCAGTTCAGAGCACCTGCTGACATATTTTAGAGCAGAGCTGAGTCATGTGGCCTCATTTCCATGTCAAGAGGTTGGACTTTTTGGCCTATATACCAAGTTATCTGGATTAACCGGAGTTCTTCAATTGAATTCAAAAATACTTTATTAATCACAAAGGGAAATTGATTGCTGTAGTAGCTCAGAATAATAATAATAATAATCAAGTCATCAGAGTTATTGTATATTACAATGGCTGTTGGCAGGAAGGATCTCCAGTAGCGGTCAGTGTTGCAGCCAAACTGAAGAAGCCTCTGACTGAAGACACTCTTCCGTTGTCGGACAGTCTTGTGAAGAGAATGCTCAGGGTTGTCCATAATTTTCTTGATTCTCTGGAGAATCCTTCTTTGCATTATCTTCTCCAGTGGTTCCACCGTCATCCCCAGAACAGAACCAGCCTTTATTAGGCTGTTGAGCCTTTTCAGATCCGTTTCTGATGCTGCTACCCCAACAGACGATGGCTGAAGAGATTACACTCTCAACAACAGACTTGTAGAAGATCTGCAGCATCTTGCTACAGACATTGAAGGACCTAAGCGTCCTCAAGAAGTGCAGTCTGCTGTGTCTGCTTCTGTTCTGAGTTGATGGTGCTGCTGGGCATCTTCTGATTTCACATGGAAGAAAGCATGTGTCTTTCATCTGTCACACCATTGTTCTTTTGCTCTCGGCATCGAGTTTGCTGTTCAGTTATTGAAAAGCTCATCAAGCCTGCTTTGAAGTTTATAGCTAGGAGACTTTGCCTATGTAGTCTTACTACCATGGCTCTGGTTCCTGTTGTCAAAAAACTCCACAACTTTTTCAGTTAATGACTGAACCTATCTATCTTGTCTTAAAAAAAAAATCACTGACATGTTGCAAAATGGTGGTCACATTAGTTAGCTCACTGGCATCTTGGAAAAATATTTACAATAAAAATTTATGAAAACATTACTTCACTTTTTCACACTTGCCTCGATCTTTTGACGATTCTCACTTCATCAGGTGCAAATTGAAAAGCTATAGCACTAGATGGAAATTATCTTTAAAACAACTGATGCAATAGTCTTTATAATCCTACTTTCAGTTTGAGATCAACCACTGAACAAATAAAAATGAATAAATCACTTGCACCACCAGTTTTATTTAGTTTATTAAATTCTTCTGTTAGGACACATCATGCAGTGACTTTCCCCAGCAAAGAAACTCAGAAAAGCATGTATTAAATTAGACATCTAATTTAATATTTCCCTGTAGGTACCACTGACTAAAAAGAACAGGTCATATGCACACATTTGAGTTGTGTAATCAGTTCTATTTTGTAATTGTGTTTGAAAACACAGAAATCACAAGTACAACACCAGAAAGAGAAAAATAAAAGGTACAAAGTCAATATTTCCAAAGAATAAGTGAACAGTCCTGCACCCTAGGGGTTTAAAGAGAGCTTCATCTTTATGCTAAGAGCGGCTCAACGCCAGACCTATTCCAGGTTTGCTTTATTACTCTGCCAGCCCACAGAGCTGCTACGTACATACTTTAGAACACAGGCACCAGCATTCAGAACACATCAGATCTATGCAAACAGCCATCACAGCTCCAGAAATTGATCAGTAGGCCCATGAGCGGAGGCTTGGATGGATCGCTAAAACATCGGAGGATGATGGGACAAAAGGCGGTACAAGGTAAATGGTCTAGCCCTTTATGGGTGAGGAGTTTAAAATGCTGTGCACAACACCTGGGATGCTCTTTAGTTCCTACTCATTTCTGTGAAATCACATGCACCGTTCAAAGCTATGGGCTAAAAGGGTTCAGAGCCAGGGTCATGGTACATGGTTCATTTATGAAAATCCATATCCCAGTGCCATCAGCTGAGGAAGCCCCACTCACTCAGCTAGCTGCCACACCAACGAGCTCAAACCCGATGAAAGGCCAAAAACATGCCCAAGGTCAGTACTCTCGCAGTGATTCTCTCTCTCTCTCTCACACACACACACACACACACACACACACACACGCATCTTAAAACACAAATGGCCAGTTACAAAAGTCTCAGTACAGTTGAACCATTTGACATCTATGGTTTTGCTTCACTCGCTTCTTTTTCTCCATTTTCAACCTCCATTTCTTCATCCTCATTCTCTTTGCTGTCGCTTTTCACTTTCTCTGCTTGTTTCTGTTGATGGAGGAAAAGAAGACAGGATCAGCAGCTTGTCACCCAGTCTGACCAGCTTAATGTGATCACTGCTCCCTCTAGTGGCAGTTACAAAAGAAGTGTGTGAAACCAGGTTTACCTTTGAATCCCTCTCAGCAAACTTCTGAAACATGTTGGCATAAGTGCGCTTGTCCTTCTCGTGCTGCTCTTTAATACGTTTCTGACATAGAACCACCTGGAGTGACGGGGAGATTGGAAATAAAAAACAAAAAAAAAAACAAAAAAACAACAATACAACATATTCAATGGAAATAAAGAAAGAAAACAAACTTTTATATAGCCTCTCAAGATAAAAATCACAAGGCGCTCTACAAAAAAAAAAAAAAAACTAAAGTATAAAAAATATTTTAAAATGAGAGAAAAAAAACTGATAAAAAATAATGTAAGGAAAGGGAGAAAGAAAATGAATAGGAAAGAGTGAAATTGGTGGATCGCAGGGAAAGGCGGAATAAGTAGAAAGAGCAGAATAAGGAGGTCACACAAAAGCCAGCTTGAACAAGTGAGTTTTCAGCTGATTTTTGACGGAAACCACTGAGTCCACTGATCTCAGGGGGGGCGAGCTCCAGAGTCTGAGGGCCACAGCAGCAAATGCACAAAGCAAATCCTTTGGTCTTTAGCCTGGTGCTGCACAACCAAGTAGGCTTTGGTCACTGGACCTCAGGGACCTGCTGGGGTGTAGGGACTGAGATGATCACCAATGTAAGATGGTGCTTGTCCATGTAAGGCCCTATAGACCAGAACCAGGATCTTGAAATGAACCCTGAAGTTGACTGACAGCCAGTGAAGCTGGAGGAGAAGCGGGGTGATGTGGGTGTATTTGGAGGACTTGGTCAGAAGCTGAGCACAGGCATTCTGAACCACCTTTAGACGGTTCAGGGAGGTTCTGCTCAGACACGTGAAAAGAGAGTTACAGTAGTCTAAGCGTGAGGAGATGGAGCTGTGGATAACTGTCAAGTTCAGAGCAGGACAGAATGGGACTCAGCAATGTTCCTGGGATGGAAGAAGGAAGAGCAAACAAGAAAAAGACATGAAATCATGGGTGAGAGCTGGGTCAAAGGTCAAGCCAAGATTCCTGACGGAGGGTTTGGTGGGAGAAGCAAGTTGACCAAGAGAGTCTCTGACTTTGGGAACCAGCTTGTCTGGGGCACAGATGAGGATCTCAGTCTTATCTTCATTCAGCTGAAGAAAGCTCCCAGCCATCCAGGTTTTAAAAGAGTCTAAGCAGGTGTGTAACAGCTGCAGCTTTGACATCTCATGGGGCTTAAAGGAGATCCACAGTTGGATGTCATCTGTGTAAAGATGGTAGGAGATTCCTCTGAAGGAGCTCAGAATGTGCTGAAGAGGAAGCAGATAGAGGAGGAAAAGCAGATGCCCCAGCACAGAACTGTGTGGGACACCATGGGTAAGAGAGGTGGTGGAGGACCTAAACTTGGAGACGGCCACAGAAAAGGAGCGCTCAGAGAGATAAGAGGAGAACCACTCCAGAGCAGATCCTGATAGGCCTACCCAGTCTCTCAGCCTCTCCAGTAGCAGGTTATGGTCAACAGTGTCAAAGGCTGCAGTCAGGTCCAGCAGGACCAGAACAGAACAGTCCCCTGCATCACTGTGAGTCAGAAGGTCATTAGAGACCCTAAGAAGAGCTGTTTCAGTAGAATGACCTCTACGAAAACCTGACTGTAAGCTATCATAGATGTTATGTTCATCAAGAGCAGCTGTGAGTTGTTTAGCCACAACCTTTTCCAAGATCTTGGAGATGAACGGAAGTTTAGAGATGGTCTGAAGCTGCTATGGAGAGAGGGGTCGAGACTCCGTTTTTTAAGAAGCGGGTGGATTACAGCATTTTTAAAGTAAGCAGGGACCTGACCAGTGACCAGAGAAGCATTAATTATAGAGAGCACGCTGGGACAGATGGACTGAAAAGCACTTTTAAACAAAGATGAGGGTAAGATGTCGAGGGGGCATGCAGAGGTCTTCATAGTTAACTAGTTTGGTTAACTCAGGCAAAGAAACAGGAGCAAAGCTATCTAGGATGATGGGCAGGGTTGGAGTCGGGAGAGGCGGCGATAAAGCTGAAGGAGAGATGCTAGATCTAACCTTATTGACTTTGTCCACAAAGAAAGACAGAAAGTTTTCACAGTCTGTAACAGAGTGGATGGAGGCTGTAGGAGAGGCAGGAGAGACGATGCTGCTGATGGTGTTAAACAGCACCTTGGGGTTCCCTTTGCTCTGGGACACCAGGTTGGAGAAATAGGCAACCCTCACGTCTCTGACTGCAGAGTTAAAGGATGTCAGAAGATCCTTTAGATCAGGGGTATCAAACTCATTTTAGCTCAGGGGCCACATTGAGGAAAATCTAGTTCCAAGTGGGCCAGACCGGTAAATTAAAACCTGCTTTTCTCCCAGTCATTGATATCAGGGGCAAAACAAAGTAGCTCGTCAGAACACCTGTTGCACTTGGTTGACGTACTTGCTCTAGCTGAGGATAAACGGCTTGCTTGCTTAACACAATGCCTAGTACACCATCCAGTGAACCTATTGGGAACAGCAGGTTTTTTATTGAAAAATTATTTTCACTCTACATTGTAAATTATGAAAATAAAGTTGATACAACCATCTCGCGGGCCGGACTTAACACGTTTGCGAGCCGTATATTTGACACCCCCGCTTTAGATGAAGCAGATGGAAGTGGAAATGGGTTTTCTTCCACAAGCGCTCAATTTTTCTGCATTGGCGCTTCAGGCTGCGAGAAAATCAGGGAGTAGGGTTCACTGCAGGAACTGATCTGGTTCTGACAGGACAGCTGTTGTCCAGGATGGAGGCAGTGCTCAATAAACTGAGAAGTTAAGGAATCTGGGTCATTACCAGAAGAACAGGGTGGATTAAAAGCAGCAGAAAAATTGCTAGCTGTGCTCTCATTAAGAAAACGAGAACTAACCAGACGGCGAGCAGGAGGTAGGGACGCAGAAACTGACAAGTTAAAGAAAATGCAATGGTGATCAGAAATATAAACGTCCACTTGACAAACGCTGTCAGCGTTTAAACCCAGGGTAAAAACAAGGTCTACAGCAGGGGTCGGCAACCTTTTCCCATCAAAGGTCCATTATTACCCTATTCCCACAGTAAAGAAAACACTGGGAGCCGCAGCAGCCGTGGCGTTGTGGGCGGGGCCTACCCTCAGACAGCAGAGAGCTGCTTTAACTGATCACAACAGGTGACAGCAACTAATACCAGTCGCTCGTGTACCTCAAAGTAATCTTTCAACAGAAGACAATTAATAAAACGGTTTGTATAAAATTGATCCAAAAGTTGTAGCCAGTCTGTGCTACAATATTTTGATATTTTTCATCCTGCTAGTGGTTTTAACAGTTGAGCAGGTGACGCTTTTTGAGGCGTGACACAAACTGTTCAGAATACAAATCCAGGCTCTGTCTCGTTGGACTGTTGTAATTACACTTGCTACTGAACTAAACTTTGCATTAAACATTGTCGAAAAGAAAAGGATCCAATCAATTAGTTTTTTCCCTCATTTACACTGATGGAGAAAACGACGCAGTGTGCGTGGCTCTGGTGTTAATCAGGTTTAATGTTTCTGTTTGCAACAATCTTCACAAGAAGGTAAAACAATTAAACGACAGGGTTCGCACTGACCGGATATTTCCCGTATTTAATTGTTTTTTGACGGAGAAATCTCAAGCCTGCAGATGCGCTGACATTTCAATCGTTACGCACATCGTGGAGGTAGCTACATCAATCAGGAAAAGATTCCCATCAGAACGTCTGAGATGGACACTGAGCTCAGCGCAGCTCGCTGTCAGCGCATGCGTGAGGTGGACAGCGAGTTGAAGATAGATCGGGGGCTTGGGAGCGCGTCGCAGAACCAGAACCATGCAGGAAGATTCTGTGTTTTCTAAACCCGGTCTCTCAGAGACTTGTTACTTAAAAATGTTCCCTGATTATGAATCTTTGGCTGAATAGCGCTTGTTCCTGTCTAAAACACTGCGAACGCATCCATGAGCCTGTCTGAGGAACAGTCCAGAACCTCATATCGTCTTCAGCTCAGAAAGCTCCTACAGAGACGTTTGATTACGCACAAATAGGTGACCTGTTCAGGTTTATGCAGACAATCTTTAAATTTAGATTTGGCTACAGATAAAAAATGAATGCAGTAAAATAAAATGCATTGTAATTACATATTCATTAATTAGTTTACAAGCAGAGAGCCGCATCAGATGGATGAAAGAGCTGCATGCGGCTCCAGAGCCGCGGGTTGCCGACCCCTGGTCTAGAGTGTGCCCCCTGGTGTGTGCGGGGCTGGATAAAGCGGAAGGAATCACTCTTATTTTACCTGACTCTTTGCGGCCTTGTTAGCAGGATACAGCTGAACAACCCTCTGGAAGTCATCTCTTGCTCTCTCAAACTCCTTCATACAAAACAGCGCCTCCGCCCTCCGAAATAAAGCCTTTTCATTGGAGGAATCCAACTCCAGTGCCTGTAAATAGAGCATATTTAGATGTTTAAAAGATTTTAACACATAATACGCAATTATGAAAAACCATTTTAAAAGACAACAGCCGAGTTTAATATTTAAGAATCTAAGCTAATTTTTATGTGCTGACACAAGTCTTCTTGAACTATCACACAGATTAAACATTAAGTACCTTTTCGCAGTTTTCAAAGGCTTGGTTTGACTCCTGCAGTTTAAGGTAGCACATGGCCAAGTTCAAGTGTGCAGCCAGACGCAAAGCTTTTGCTTTCGCTTCGTCTTCCTCAGACAGGCTTGACTCGTGTTCCAACCAGGATACAATCTTTTTGTACTGCACAGATGCCTTCTTGTATTTTCCCTCCTGTAACACACAGAATGTATGGGTCGCAATTCTGGAAAAGTAACACTTGTTCAAAACCAGAAACAAAAACACTCCTCTACCTTAAAATTCTGTGTTCCCTTCTCTTTGACAATGCTGCTCTGCTCCAGCTTTTCTATGGTGTTCATTTCCCATGATTCTTTAGCCTATTAAAGAAAAAGGTAGATAAACAAAAGCAATTCAACACCTACAGTTAAGCTGGTGTGCAGCTCCACCAGGATTTGTCTACCTTCTCAAAGGCCGTCAGCTTTATCTTGTATTTCAGTGTTGCTCCACCGGGAATGTTGTACTTCTCATTCCCTGCATTCCCAAAACCATATCTGCAAATCAAAGGCATTATTGCTCCTTAGTCTATGACAAATCAGCTGTTGTGCTACTCTAAAGAAGAGTTTGTGCAACAAATATATATCAATATAAATAAATAACATTTTATATTATTTAGCCCTAATAAAAAAGGACAGTTATACACCAGTTAAGTAGATGCACTTAATGCTATACAGAAGATTTCATACTTATTTACTTGCATCGGTTTTCCTCACTAGTTACTAAAACAATGTTTAATACTTAACTACCCTGAAGTCTGTTTAGATGCTTTAATGAGTTGATCATACTTAGGTTTGATGGTGAAGAGTGCCTCTTCCCCCTGCTCCATAGCCATGATGGATTTCTCCACACCTGCTGGCAAACCAAAAGCCTCCCCATCCCCGATCTCAAACTTCAGCTCTCTCTCATCAAAAACACGACCATCACAGGTGCCCTCCAAAGTAACTGAAATGGAAGAAATAAATTGGGGGTGAACTTATGTCATACAGTCTTGAAATATTTTCCAGTTCTTTTTTATGAAAATTATTAAAAGCTAAATACAGAAAAAAAATTAATAAATGGCAAATTTCAAAGTTTTGGTTAAAAACCTATGAAGTATTTAGTATATTGTCAATGTCTGTTTGCCTTTTAGTGCTGTTATTAAGTCATAAACTGATATTTTTCGTCAAACAAACCTAAAGTTAGTTTACAAAATAACTTAAATAAATTTGTTTTATTATGTTAATATTTTACAAGAAAGAAATCCTCATTTTTGTCCATTAGTTCTTATATTTTTGTGGAATCTTTACTAAATTTTGGTATGTTCTGATGAAACTGGTGGAAAAAAAAAAAGTTAAAACCCAATGCATTACCTTCAACAGCAGCTCCTTCATTAGGCTTAGAATAATTCTCCCCCTTAGTGATGATTCGCCGGATGATCCCTCCATCCTCATCCTCTGTTATGTCCTCCCCTTGGAATTCAAACAGTTCCACCTACAGGAGCGCAAACGCGTTGGATTAGACATTAACTGTTTACACAATGGTTCAAATACAAAAGCAGTTTGAAGTACTTGACCAGTAACTAATTGATCAGACTTTTACCTCAAACACCAGAGTGGCATTGGGAGGGATCTTTGGTGGGCTGCCTGCAGATCCATATGCATACTCTGGCTTACAGGTGAACTGGCACAGCTCTCCCACTTTCATGGTGGCCACACCAATATCCCATGCCTTTATAACTTGCCCTAAAGAGAGAAAGAAGTTAATGGCGATTGCTGTGCAACTGTAATACACAAACATCCACGTGGCTGAAGAGCTAACCTTTGCCCAGTTCAAAGGAAAACTTGGTTCCCCTGTCTCTGCTGGAGTCAAAATGTGTCCCATCCAGAAGTGTCCCCACATAATGAACAAACACCTTGTCACCAGTCATAGGGAGCTCTGTACCTGTCCCTTCTCTTTTGATAAGCTGTAAAAACAAATAACAGAAGTTTGTCAAATGGTAATTTATTTAAGAAAAACAATTGCTTATAAGATATGTATTAATGTCAGTCCTAGATTTAGGTCCTAACACTCAGTTTGACACTGCAACATGCAAAGCCAATTAAAATGATTCCTGCATTTTGCATTTATGGTTGTTTATTTCTGTATTTACTATAAAAAAAAAGTAGTAGTATTTATTCCTGCAAAATGTTTCAAGGCCAATTATAAACGTCAATGCAATCTTAGCATAAAATCGTATGTGGCAAACGTTCAACATGTAAAACACCTTGGCATGTTTTAAACCTTTCGGTTTGCACTAGCTGGGTGCACGGATACTGCAACATGCTTGCTAAAAGTGGCTAATGTTAGCCTAGCTTTAAGAGTATCTAAACGTGGGTTATCTACCTTAAAAACACCTCCATCTTTCTTTGGTGTGATGTCTTCGCCCTCCATGGGGATGGTGTGTTGCCCTTCGCTCATCTGCTCTTCTGCAGTCATAGTCATGAGTAAAGATTTACCCCAAAACCCTACAATGCAGCGCGAATCCGAACTGACCTCGGCTATCAGTGAGCCAAGCTAAGTGCAACAAGCACCAACAGCAGTAGCGGCAGCAGACTACCAGGCGTCTTTTAACGCTCCCCGCTGACTAAACTTTATTGATACTGCTGCTGTAAGTCTAATGGACAGTGCAACCTTTAACGAAATGTGCATAAAACACGCAGCCGAAGAAAATATCGTTTCTAGTTCAAGCTGCCTCGCCGTCTGGCAGATGACAAGCGCTTAAGAGCAGCAGAGAACTTTCCAGACAGACCAGCAAATTCTATTACGACGCACGCACGTTGCTGACGTTAAATGTGTCTAGAAGCATCTACCGGGAAAGCGGTGCTTAGAAGAAAAGACGATCCGTTTACGCGTTTACGAGTATTTTAAAAGAAAAATGTTACATCGGTTTTTATTAGCTGTATCAATTAAATAAATGTTGGAATATTAACAAGACACATATTTGGCTTGAATAACCCCGCTCGCGTGCAAAATCTGATAGCTATAACACACGCTTCTTGTTTTATCTGGCTTTCTATTGGTCAGACTCCGTGACCACTTCTGTTTGTTGGCGCGGTTGATGAAAAGCCGGGAATTTAACACACGAAGGACGGAAATCTGCTATCTGGACTACGACTAAAACATATCAAGAATATCTTTTGTGTCTTAAGAATTCTGGGGGGTAAAGGGATTCCGAAAGTAAGTAGAACTAATCCTGTTATGGTTTAGCTGGTGTTTACTTTTTAAAGAAAACTCGCTGTCGCTTTAAAAGGCATTGGTAGCTTGAATGTATAGGTCTTCTAACACGACGATAAGGTGATAGAATGAAAAAGATTGCGTGCTTTTTACAGAATGGAGAAATGTCTTGCCAAATCTCTGTTA